AAAGAAAAGTATATAGAAAGTTAAAGTCCAGAGGTAAAAGATAGACTGGATAATTTAAGAAAAACTCACAAGAAAAAAGCCAAGTTAAGGCCAGACCTTCATAAGAAAGAAGATTCTGTGTGATTATTTGGGTGTTGGGTGGCAGACCCTTCAAAGAGCCAAAAGAGTGAAAACAAACAAACAAACAAACAAACAAACAAAAAACAAAAAACACCAACTACACAACACATCTTTGTTCAAAACACTCAGCATGTAATACAGGCTATGAAAACCCTAGTGAGCCGGGTGTTGGTTGCACACGCCTTTAATCCCAGCACTCGGAAGGCAGAGGCAGGCGGATCTCTGTGAGTTCAAGGTCAGCCTGGTCTACAGAGTGAGTTCCAGGACAGCCTCCAAAACAATACAGAAAAACCCTGTCTCAAAAAAAAAAAAACCAAAAAAAAAAGAAAAAGAAAAAAGAAAGAAAGAAAGAAAAGAAAACCCTAGTGACCTAATACACTCTTTTTCTTGGTATGTACTAGATATCACTTTAAGCAATTTACAACCACAGATGTATTTATTATTTTTAAGAGAGATTTATTTTATTTTATGCACGTGGGTATTTTGCCTGCATGCATGTATATGAACAATGTGAGTTTCCGGTGCCCTCAGTGGTCACAAGAAAACATCAGATCCTCTGGAACTGGGGTTAAGGATGGTTGTGAACCATCATGTGGGTGCTGGGAACCGAACCCAGATCCTTTGTGAGAGTGACAGTGCTTGTTATCGCTGAGCCATCTCTCTAGCCCCCAGATTCATTTATTCCCAACAACTCTATAAGAAGTCTTACTAGTGCTCCATGCCCCCTTGATTATCATCAAAGAAGGGAAGCTGGAGTAGAAAGTGGGCAGTTTAGTTATAGACACACACAGCAAGTAAGGGGCAGGGATGGATTTAAACTCCAACATTTCAGGCCAGTGCTCCCTTAAGAACTACAGGATGACAATTTAATCAGCAAACTACCCAGAGTTAAAGGCGCTTACACACTTCTGCTTGTTTTCTGTTCATTTACAATGGAATCTGGCAAATGTTGGGTGAGAGCCAGGAGCTGACCATTCACCACAGCAGATGCTATCTCAGTAAGATGGAACATTTGCCAGACAGGGAAGTCATGATTCGGGGCTGACATCACCTTCTTTGCACAATCCAAGTGCTCTTGAAAGTACACTGTGACGTTCAGACGTGTGCACTGTTACTTTGGACGGTTTGAAAGTGGCTTATTTACATTGTTCCTCTAGGCCCCCACAGGTAATCATTAACAACACATGCTTTTTTATTTGGGAACATTTTTTTCCAAGCTTGGTACTTCTTGAGTGGCATCCTACTGCATTTGTGTTGGGAATGGCTCCTTCTCTTGAAGTCTTGGGACACTTGATTCAGACAGTGGTTTTTGCAGAGGAAGGACATCTTGCTCCTTGTGCTGGTGTCTACACTGACTTCCCTTGTCTTCTGCTTGTCTTCTTAGCTTGCTTGGAGCCCTGTGTGGCTGTGGAAGGTGGCTATTATAGGTCTGTCAACTGCCTTTCTTGTCCTATGGCTTCTGGTGGGACTAGGCCACTGGGTGAACCCAAGAGAGGGAGGAACAGTGTTCGTTTCCTGGCTACTTCTCTAGAACTGGGGTGGTTACTCTCTTGGAGCCAAGGGTGGCAGGTTCTCTTAAGTATTGTCTACCCAGAACCTAAATGAACCTCCTGGCTTCTTCCTTCTGCCCTTCAGGCTAGGGGTCATCATAATGGGGTTGTGGAATGGCTACCCAAACTAGCCTCCCAGCCCTGGGTCATTGCTCACTCTTCTTTTTCTACGTGTTTCCCATACATTTGTGAAAAGGCTTTTTTCTCAAACTCGCTGTACATTGTCCCCTCTGTCACCTGCCAGAAGCCCAGCTGAGCCCACATTTTTTTAAACCCTACATTACAAGTAGGTGGCAGGTCACATGGTCTTTTTTCCATTGAATCTTTCCCCTTATTTTATCTTGAAACCACCAAGAACCCTGCTGGCCTGATACCTTTTATAGATCAGGACAATGTGTGTCAAACACATAGGATTCTCACTTCCTATCTGCCCTTTATAGCTTAAGTCAAATACGATACTGGGTTAATAATCTTCCTGAAGTTAGGGCTCATTTATATATAAAATCCCATAGTGGCTATTGTAATGATGAAGCAGTAATGATGTCAATCTGCTTTGACACCATCAGTTCAGAACCTTGCTTTACTCAGCGGTCACCTTCCGATTGATTCACCTCTGTCCACTGAGACCCAGCACCCATGAGCATCTCTTGTGATTGTCTCAAGAACCGTGGTTGTTTGTGTCCTACCCATCTCATTCTAGATATGTCTGAGATCACAGAGTACACTGTAATCCTGAATTTGAACCCAGGAATCTATACTTCAAAGCTTAGTTTCTTCCTGCCAGAAACACTCTTGTGGGGTTAAGTAATTTCTGAATATGCTTTCCAACAAAAGACTACACAGAAAAAGTGATTTTAGTAGTGTGCCAGGCCCTGAGAAAGAACACGGAGGGCATTGTCCGTGGTGTGCAGGATGCTCATTCCACCGTGAGTGTGACCATACCTGAGCTTTGCACATAGGGACGCATAGCCTTCAAGAGCTCTGGTAACTCTCATCCCGTGAGTAATATGACATTTTATAGGACACAGAACTGACTCTGGTGTTCAGGTCCTCAAGCATACTGGGGTCTACTCCCCTTATTTTATGGGTTTGGAACTCCTGGTTTCAACACAAGAAACTCAACAGACAATAAAAGATTATTGCTGCCTGAGCATGCACAGCTGATGAGATGGTATCCATGACTCTAGACTGTGACACCAACTGGTCTGCGTTCATGAAAACCCCGGGGGGGGGGGGTGTCACTGCCCGCAGGCTGCATGCCACAGCCCATGTGGCATTGGGTATTTGCAGAGCTGAGCCTCATGCAGGGACCACATGCATTCGTATAGAATGACAGAGGACAAGTTCTGAGAATGTGAACATCCTCCACGGAGATGTGAGCTAGCACAGGAATGTGGGGAGAGCTTGGCAGCTCCGGAGGGAGGAGAGGCCAGCCGGGTGAAGCATGGGAGCAGGCAGACAGGCTGCTGTGATGTGGAGAGGACTTACTGGACACTGGGGTCACAGGAGAGGGCTCACAGAGGGATGAAAGAGGCAAACATAAGAGACACAGAGTTCCGGTGGTGGGGGTGCACGCCTTTAATGCCAGCACTTAGGAGGAGGAGGCAGGCAGATCTCTGAGTTCGAGGCCAGCTTGGTCTACAAAGCAAGTTCTAGAACAGCCAGCACTACAAAAAGAAACCCTGTCTGGAAAAAAGAGAGGCACAGAATGGTGTAACAGAGAAGGGGTGGGGCTGGATTACATGAAATGCTTCAGATACTAAATGGATATGGGGGAGTGACTGAGGGGTGGGACAGACCAGTCAGGAGATGCCTCAGTGGGGCAGGAGACAAACGATCCTTGGAATTAGATTGGCAATGAATAGGAGGAAAGACATTTAGACAAGGGTGCCAGCCAGCTGTAGAAGCCAGGGCCTACTCTTGGCCTTGAGACCTTGTCTCTCCCCTAGGATACAACTTTTAAACTGGGCTACCACTTATACGGGGGTGTGTAACAATGCAGGGGTTGTGAAAAATTTGGCGGTGGTGAAAGGTTTCTGAGTGCTCAACAGACAAGGACGAATTTCAAGTCAAATAGGTAGTGAACTTGGTGCTTCTGTCAGGGTTAGGTTGTGCTGTGTCACGCGACTCCGCGGTGCCCCGACTCTTCACTGAGAGTGCTAGCACACCACGAGGCCGAGAACACTGTCTGAAACACCGCGCTCCGATTTGAAGCTATTGGATGTTAGGAATGGCAGTGTTCTCACTGCACTTACCAACATTATTTGCCCTTATAGAAACATAATGGATCAATCATGGAAAACAAAGGCTTTTATACCAATCTGTTATCATACCTTAGCATGTAAATACCAACTCAGAATATTTTTTTGGATCACATTAGGTTAAAACACTTGTTTTTTTTTTTTGAGACAGGGTTTCTCTGTGTAGTCCTGGTTGTCCTGGAACTCAGTCTGTAGACCAGGCTGGTCTCGAACACACAGAGATATACCTGTATTCACCACCACTGTCCGGCAGAACATTTGCTTTTAAAAACTGCTATTTGAGTTGTTGACTTTACTTTCATGAAAAATTGTTAAATAAATTTTGGCTTGGGATTAGGAAAGAATTTCCAGCAATTTCTGAAATGGCCCTAAACATATTTCTGCCATTTTTTAAACTGTATATTTAATGTGAGATGGTGTTTTCAGAATTGATGATTATAAAACCAAGAGACTGAGTAACTCTGAAAATGCTGAAGATATTCCATGCCCTGCTGTGTCAAATAGTCAACCAAGATTTAATTAATTATATACAAACAATCATATCATGGCAGTATGCAAATTTATTTTAGTATTCAATAAGTAGTAAATTTATAGTATTTACATATCAAGTTGTTTCAAAGTACATTTCTTTATAATTGATTATCAGCAAAAATTTGACTTGCTTTTGAAAATCACTTTTAGATTCATTTATTTTATTGCTGTATGTGTATGAGTGTTTCGCCTGCATGCATGTGTGTGCAACACAAGCATGCCCACAGAGCTAGAAGAGGACATCAGACCCTTTGGAGCTGGAATTGCTGGGTGCTGGGAGCCAAAGCTGTGAGAGCAGCAACTGCTGAGCCATCTCTTCAGCCCCAAGTATTTGATTTCTGTATCTGCTTCACATACTTACACACCCGGGGCTGTGTAAATATTTCTTGGGTGAAAAGGGACTGTGAGTGGCAAAGTTTAAGAGTCCTGCTCTAGGCAGTCCCTCCCTCTACCTCCATTGGCTCTGAGGGCAGAGCCCCACCTGTTGCACACTTTTGGTCCGTCCCCCAGCCCCAGACTCACTCACTCCTCTTCCTAGGACCTTGCTAATGCTGATCACCACGTCAAAAGCAAGGATGCAGATAATGCTGAGATCCACACTGAGCAACGATTGGCTGGGCACTGTCTTGCTCTGTCACGTGAGAAACAACTTTCTTATTAACAAGCATGATTTATGCATGTTTACAAATCATTTCCTTGTCATTTAATTTAATCCTCCAAATTTACCTTTCAGGTATAATTCTCACTTCATGATAAAGCTGTGACACCCAAGAGGTTAACTGATCTGCTCACTAATGTCCCGAAGTTAATTTGGTGGTGACAATGATCCCACTGATGGCCAGAGGAAAGATGACAGGCTGGTCACCTGTTGTGGACATGATGGCAGCTGTGCCCACAGATAAGTACTTCACTAAGTATTTCACACAAAATTTTAACATGCAGTTTCCACTCCAGTCTTAATTTTTTTGCAGTTGAAACAACATGCTGAATATGACAGAGTTACTAAGAGGAAAAAGACAAACTGAACTGGGGACCATCTGTTGCCAGGTGAACTTGACCAATACTCATTCACTCATTCTCTCCTTTCTCTCTCTTTCTTTCTCTCTCTCTCTCTCTCTCTCTCTCTCTCTCTCTCTCTCTCTCTCTCTCTCTCTCTGTCTGTCTCACTCTTGACAGACTCCACTTTGTAATTTAGGCTGGCCTGGTAGCCTAGGCTGGTTTTGAATTTAGGGAAGTCCTCCTGCCTCAGCCACCAGAAATATGGGGTTACAGGCCATGCAACACAATTCCTGGCTCTAAATTCCTGCCCTTACGGTTACCTCCAAACCACAGCCTTGTGTCCTCCAGATGAACTGATTAGGAGTTAAGCAATAAGTTGTGGTTTGCCCGAACTTCGATATTGGCACCTGAACCACTGATTAGGAATAGGGCACACTGTCACATACAGTTTACATCCCAAGACCTTTCACAATGCAACAATTAACTACACAATTTGGAATGACCTAATATTAATAGCAAAGTCTCATCTACAAAACTGGCGCAATCTCATAACTTCCGTGGAGCCATCCAGAGAAGTAAGTGCCTAGTTTAGCAACTGGGGTGAGGACCCCTTTACTGGAAGTGAAATAAAACACTGAGAGCTGTGTGAATTAGGCTACTTTGTGTCGCAAAGGGGATCATTTAAAACCACATGAGACTGGCCAAGGACCTCCTGCCAACACTCTGCCTCTGTGGCCCTATGGTCTTGTCATTCCTATGAGGTATGATTTATATTCTTTGCATCTGTAGGTTCCCTTTGTTGGAGTGAAGTTCAATGATAAAGTCAGTTCTCAGGCCCTGAGCCTGAGTTTCCCCACAGGGTTCTCTGCTACTGAGTATTGCTTCCTATAGGGTGCTTGGGACTCCCAAGGCTGTCCTGGTCATTTTATTGCCTGTTTACCAGGACCCCTGCAAGTCCAACACTCCCTGGTTAGAAAAAAAAAGGCATTTTTTCTAGTCTGTGTCATGTACAACGTATCTGGGTTTTGTTTGTTTGTTTTAGTCTGATATAATAGTGCTATTAACAGGGCAAACATTTCTTAGGATTCTAGACAGTGAAAAGGCAGAGTTAATTTCTTATTGCCTTTCTTAGTTTCTTGGAAAACAGATGATCCAACCTTCTTGTCTATCAGTTACTGGGAAAGACTCCCATGAATAAAATTTCTCCGTAGATAGAGTAAGGAGTGACAGGCAATCCACACCTTAATTTTTCTGGACGTACACAGATGTAAACATATGGCCCTCCAGTGACAGGTTAGACAGGACCTGCCCCCTCCCCCTCCCCAAGTCTGGTACGAAGTCAAAGCCATCATTTCAGACTGTCAGCTACAAGGAAAATTCTTTGGCTATCAGAGGGAAAGGGAGCCCAGCCTCACTCACTCGCTTGGCATAGCTATGTGATACACAAAGGAAGCCGACAGAGACGCGAGTCACACAAATACGTAGTAAATAAATCCATTTCATTCCCATCCCAGAGGTTCTGCTTTATTTCCCTCAGCTCTGTGCCAGCACGGCCTTGGGATGGAGGGAGGGTCAGGAAACAGGGGTCTAGGCTAGACAGTCTCCCACTCACCGTGCCCTTACTGCTAAGCTCTAGCTTTTCTAGAAATAACTTGTCAGTTCTTAGATCAGAAGGCTCTCTGAGTCCACCATCCCGATCTCACAGCTGAGCAATCTGAGAGGCAGAGTTGGGACTATTCTCAAAAGTCAGAACCCCCAACTGGGAATGCACACAGGAGTCCTCTGCTTCAACAGTCCAATTTGGGGCTGAGATGACCCCGGCAAGCAAGTTGACATAGAGAGCAGCACAGGGACATTAGAGCTCAGTTATGTCCCCCTAAGGTATTACCCAGATAGAGCCCATGGTCAGAGGGGATGTTATTGGAGGTAGATTGTCCCTTCCTGGGCTGCTGAGAGCATTTCATGGTAGCCAGGGCCCAAAACCAGGAGCAAAATGTCTGGTCCAGGCTCTGCAGGGCAGTTATTGCCTCTGCCATTGCCAGAGCTATTACTCAAAGGGTTTGTCACTTCCTCTCATTCTCCTGTAGGCTAAGCAGCCTCCAGGTAGGTGGGCATTCAGCCTGGACCACGGAGGGAACCGAAGCTGGATCTTTTCTTCCAGACCCAAAGGCTGACTTCATGAGGATTTGTTTATCAAATTGCTCTTTGCTATCTTAGGTCCATCCAGGCCCGCCCGCGGCTTCCCTGCTCTTCCCGGGACAAGCAGGGCCTCCATGGATTTCCAGATGTGGGCATGAAGGTCTCCCGGGAGCTCCCCATAGTCAGACAATGGCCATACTGCTGCTTCCTAGGCCTTTCCAGGCATAGCTAAGAGACAGCAGTTTTCCCGACAGAGGCAAGTGGCGCCACCAATTAAACATTAGCAAAATCATCAGGAAAAGGCAGAGCCCCCAACCCAAAGCTCTCTGCCTGTGCCAGAGAGCTCCGACAGCACCTGAAGGACAGAGTCCAGGGTCAGGTGTGCCCCTCCACAGATACCGGCTTCCTTCCTCTTTCCAGGCAGCCGGGGCTGCAGGCTCCTGAACCTCCCGCCCCCACCCCTGTTCCCATGGCAAAGGAGAGGAGGATCCACTTACTGCTCGTGTTCATGGTGATGCCTTTGCTCCGGGTCTTTCATTCAATACGGAGGCCCCGGTTGCTTTTTAAATCTTGCCGTCTCCTGGCCTCACTCATCACCTAGGGGTGAAAAGGCAGAGCAGGACCAGCTGTGTATCCTCAGGTGCGCTGTCCCTCCTGCTGGCCCCTCTTCGTCTGGGCTGGAGCCGCTGGCCTTGAAGGCGAGTGGACGAGCAGGGCAGGTGAACAGGGAGGAGGACTCAGGTGCTCCGTCCCTGGCACCTGGGACCCGAACCCCGGGCAGTAGCGGGGCTGTCAGCGCTGCGCGCACCCCGTGTTATCTCAGCCGGCAGGCTGCGGAGCCCGAAGGGGGTGTGGACCACAGGGAGGCAGGGCGGGGGCAGTTCGTCCCCGCCCGGCCTCGGAAGCAGCGACCCGCCCCGGGACCCACCTCTTGGCCAGCTTTGGGAGCCAGAGGCCCCTGCCCCGGCCCCTGGGAGCGGCTCATGAATCCCTCTGGTCGTCTGGGTTCTGGGATGCCAGGGCGAGCCAGGCGAAACCTGAGAGCTCGCCATCCATGATGTGGGCTCGCGGCTTAGCAGCGCGGGGGGCGCGGCCGTTCGCTGCTGCCACCTGCTGGACGCGCCAGCTCATGTCCGAGGCTCCGCCCTGCAGGGCTTCTGCCTGGGTGCTGGGGGTGGTGGGCCGAAAAAAAAAAAAAAAGACTCTGATGTCCTGGGACCAATACGGGGTGATGGAGCTGGGTCTAAGGGATGAACCGAAACAGAGAAGGAAAGTTATCATTGGGAGGACTTAGAAGGAGAGACTGGCTTTGCGGAAGGAGAGCTCCCACCTCAGCCCAGGACGAGCTGGGTGCAGTTTAGTTTTGGGCAGGTCCCTACTGAACTGGAGCATGTGGCAACTGAACCAGTGAAAGAGATATTGGGAATGTCTTCATCCTTTCAACTCGTGCCCCGCCCCCCCCCAGTTACTTTCTTGATTTCTGAGATCACTGGATTAATTTGTTATAATTGCCCGCCTCCTCTGTCTCGCTAGAAATGTTCACTTTATGAAAAAAAAGGGGGGTCTTTTCAATAATCCTCCTCCACCAGGGTCTGGCAAGTAGGTGCCAGTAAGTGTTTGTTGACAAAATGACCCTTAAATGGTCCTAATACGGCACAGCCCTAATTGTGGAAGGTCTGGGCACCTTCACCTTGAAGCTCTCTCCCGTCCAAGGAAGGCAGCAGGTACAAGCCCTCATGACACTTCATATCAATCAACTCTTGTACAGTTGACTAGCTCTCCCGTGAGTTATTATTTTTCAGCAATTAGTTCTCATAGACATTTTTTGCATATTTTGGGGGGACAGCTGACCAAAATAGGATGGCACTCTTTACATTTCCATGACTGTTGATTCTGCCACTATCTCCGCCTAATTTATGCTTATCAAAATGTAATAATAACAACAACAGTAAAGAAACAGACTAGAGGAATGTATATGCCATCCCAGTACATAGAGTGACTCTGGTTAGGGCATGTATGGGCTCAGAAAACCAACTATTCATACCCTCTAAATTCTCAGTTCCAGGGGACAGCATCTTGTTGGCAGCCCTGGACCCTTCTGGGCATCACAGTTAACTAGAAGTTCTATGTGGGAGTAACTGTGTGCACTTGAGTCTGGGTTCTCCGGTTAAGCTGAGATTGCCTCCCTTTTAACTGGAGAAAAGACACCTTTTGGATAAATAGAATGTTTGTGCCAGCCCCCCATTGAACCTTTCTATACCTTAGAATTTTTCAGTGACATGTGGTTTAGCTAACTGACTCTTCTACTCTGGGATTCTTTCAAAAACATATCCCGCTGGAGGATGATGAATTCAGTCCTTAGGAGAAACCCCTGAGGAGAAACCATGGACCCCTCTAAAAGACCCAAGAAGTTTCTATGAGGGAAACAATATTATTTTCTCTTCCTGGTTCTAAAGCTAGGTAGAAAGGGATCTAAAAAGGTCCCAAAGCTGTTCTATGAGGATGTCCGCAACAATTGGAGCTGGCAGGAAAGACACGGGGGGGGGGTGGGGTGGGGGTGGTGATTTGTGGCTGTGGAAGTCATCAGAAAAGCAGAGGTCTGGCTCCCTCTGGTCCAGAGCTCATGGGTGACAGATACAGAGCAGGGAGCTCTTTGTTTGCAAGTTTGTTTTGAACTTTGAGGCTCCAGATAGACACAAACAAGTCCTGTGTGGAAACAGGCTCCCACTTGTTGGAAAGCCCTGTGACAGATCTCTGGGAGATGATTTCTCTTCCTTCGTTACAGGGAAACGGACGCCAGCTGGGGCGAGCTTCACCCAGGACCATCGCCTTGGCCTCTGAGATTGTTGTGGGGCTGCCCATGATGTGACTTCTCTTCACAGATGCTCACCTCTCTCGACCTCCTGCACCTAAGCAGAGCCATGTCTACCTCTCCTCTGCCCACGCCCTCCCCACATGCATTGCTTTATTAAGTAACACAGCCCTGAACCCCTAAGTTTCTTTGTATCCATCTTTCTCTCCCTTTCACCTCCCCTATCCTGTTGCATCCCACACTCCTCTCTGCCCTGTCTGCCTACTCCTCACCTCCCGTTCTGGTGGTGCTGCTGTCCATTGGAGAATGTGTGCTCATTCACCCTCACCTTGATGCAAGTATAGGAACATGGGAGGGGTGCTCATAAGATAAAAGCTACCACCTCTCTTACGGGAGTGCCTCACTGAGAGCGAGAAATTCTACTCTTACTTTTGAAAAATAATGTGTAGTAGCATGTACAGCAAAGGGACCTTCATTTGGAAGTATATGATTAAATGAGAAAAGAAAACTATAGAAAAATGTATCTGTAACATTTGTATATACCATATAATATGATATACAGAACACATGCTATATCACATGAAGTGATTACATTATTACCCCACAAATGGATCCTATACAGATACCACATGCGCGTGCAGCTGTAATGCATATTAAAAAGACCCAAACGGATGTATTCCCAACCTTCGGTCCTTGGATGAGTGAACATTTCTGGATTATGTAGGTTTAACAACATGGAAGAGATTTTGGTAGGGACTTGTTTTAATTCACTTGTTTAGCAGTCTTTAATTGAGCATCTATTCTGCCGGGAGGTGCCGTGTTGCAGAGTCCTAGGGGAGAAGACAGCATGTTAATGAGTGACAGACTATGATCACCGTCTGTGAGGCAAGCAAGGATCAGCGTCCCAGTCAGGTGATTTTGAGGCTAAAGGAGAAAGGGCCGTCTGAATTGGAGATGGAGGGAGGTAGAGTCCACAGTCAGTGTTCTATTGTGAAGTGGCACCATGCTGTGGCAACTTTTACAAAGGAGAACATTTAATTAGGGCTGTCTTACAGTATCAGAGGTTTAGGTCATTATCGTCATGTCGGGAAGCATGGCAGCATGCAGGAAGATTCGGTGCTGGCGAGGTAGCTGAGAGTTCTACACCTGGATCTGCAGGCAGCAGGAAGAGACAGTGAACTGACTAGGCCTGGCTTGAGCTTCTGAAACATCAAAGCCCACCCCCAGTGACACACTTCCTCCAACACGGCCACACCTTCTAATAGCGCCACTCCCTATGGGCCTCTGGAGCCATTTTTATTCAAACCACCACAGAGCCAAAGGCAAAGCTGGACATCACTGATGGGCCTAATGGCTTCATGTGGAAGAACCGAGAAGGATGGTCATGGCAAGCCTCATTCTCAGGATTAAGGGACCTGGGATCCAAGTGGTTCTACTGGTGTGTGTGTGTGTGGGGGGGTGTGGGGCTCGAGATTTTGGTTCAGTCTTCATGCTGCAGAGGTGAAGAGGCAGAGACAGGGGATATGGTGGTCTGGAGGCCAGTTCTGTCTACTCTGTGGCCTTAGGCCAAACCTCAAACCCATAAGCCCCTCACACATAAAATTCCAGCAAGACTTACCTCATTGTGAGCATCCATAGCAACCACACAGTGTGGTCCAGAGCCAGTCACAAGTAAATGATTATTACTTTTATTCTCCTTGGATCAACCTAGATGACTCATTAGGTGGAATTCATGAGCTCAGGTCTCCATATTTATAATAGGAGGATGGTATCAGAGGGTACCTGAGGTCTAATATTGCTCTGAGTGTTAGTGGGCACTTCATGGAGAGTCCTTGGTTGGAGTTAGGCAGATTTGACCATTTTCCAAGGTCATGTGGGGAATCTTCGATCCCCTAGGGCACTACGGGCCTGTGCTGAGGTCCTTGCCCTAGACGGATAACTCCTTCAGGAGACAGTGTTCTGTCTACTGCTTCCTAGACCCGTGTTGGTTCCCTCCCCTGGTCTTGTCCCCTTCCGCCCACCTCGGGAGATACCTAAATTTATGTGGAATTGGCAGGCTTTGACCCTGTTGTTCTGGCTGGAACAGCTATGTTTTTCCTCTTGTTCCTTACATTGTTTTGTGGAGAAATGTTGAAAAAAAAATCAAAGTAGTTTCCAAGATGTTTGCAAGGCTTCTGGTGTGTGTGTGGGGGGGAACAAAAGGCTGGCCTTGAGATCAGAGAATTGGGGGTGACCACGTGGGAAGCTTCAGGCAGAAGTCCCCACTGCAGGGTTCTGCTGAGGTATGTCCATACACGGTGTGGATCTCCTTCCTGACTGTCGCTCTTCCAGCAGAAGGAAGGAGCTGGGGTACAGCTAGCTGGCGGGATAAACGCTAAGGAGACCTGAGCACAGGGCACAGTCCTGCCATCCCCTTACCAACTGTCTGTGGCTCGGTTTCCCCATGGGTAGCATCTGAAGACTCATCAGGGAGCACTCTGCACTTCCCCTCCAGGTTACAGGCTGAGTAAGTCTCGCTTTTTGCTCAGCATCTCTCCTGCCTCCAGTTCCCCTGCTGGCAGTGCCCACCACTCCACCACTGCTGTGCCTCCTTTGAACAGGGGCAGTCATGTTCTCAAGATCTCGAGTCTCATGTTTCCCTCGAAGCTCTCCTTGGAATGCCTTTATCACTGACCGCCCAGGACTTCCAATAGATGTGTCTGTCCTCTTGGGAGCTCTGTGCCCACTCCCCTCATGCTTGGTTTGCTCTTCTCCCGTGTCTGCACAGCTAGACCCTCACATCCTCTTAGTTCTGATTCAAGGGCTAAAGTAGGTAGCCTGTACAGTTGGCTTCAGTTAGAGAGGCCAACATTTCCCACACCACACGGATGTGTCCATTGCTCCTCAGAGTTCAGTTACTTAGCTCCCCCAAGTTTACTCTCTTCTCCAAGTTTGCCCTCTTCCTCTTTATCCATTTGGCTTCTCTTTAGGATCTAAGTTCTGTCTCTGGATGAGGTCTTTCACTAAGATCTTTAGACTCCACTGAGGATGCATGTCTCCTCCAGTCACTTAGGGTTACAAAATGGGTCTCCACACCTACACTGCAGAGAAGCCTAATGCTGTCTGTATAACACGAAAGAATAAGGACTCAGAAATAACGAGCTGTGGGTTCTCCTATATTTCTTAGCTATCTAACTCTGGGAAAGCAGTGAATTGTTTTTGTCCTTCCCTATTCAATTGTAATGGAAACAGTATGTATTTCATTGCATTATACTATGCGGTATGTCTTAGGGTTAATCCAGGAGTAAAATGAAAACTAGGTCTTGTAAATTAAAGTATGTGCAAAGTTGGTGTGGCAAGTTTTTCTTGTATCATTATAGATTAGCACTTCAGGGTCGCTCAGGATTAACACAGAATTGAAAAAAGGTGAGATCCCAGGAAGGGCATGTGTAGTAGTTTGAATGTTTTGGCTCCCCCAGGTTCATAGGGCAGCACTATTAAGAGGTGTGGACTTGGTGAAGTAGGTGTGGCTTTGTTGGAGGACGTGTGTCACTGTGGGGGTGGGCTTTGAGGTCTCCTATGTTCGAGATATTTCCCAGTGTCTCAGTTCACTTCCTGTTGCCCGCAAATCAAAGATGTAGAGCTCCCAGCTCCTTCTCCAGCACCATGTCTGCCTACACGCCATCATGTCCTACCATGGTGACAATGGATGGAACTTCTGAACTGTAAGCTGCCCATTTGAATGTTTTCCTTTATGAGAGCTGTCTTGGTCATGGTGTCTCCTTACAGCAACGGGAACCATAACTGAGACAGCATGGGAAAAGGGAACACAGAAGTCAGTGGCTGTGTATGCACTGTCATGCTCACAGAAATGCCCTCAACATGCATCACTCTGAACAGAACGACACTAAGTGATCTTGGTGTTCTGTCTGTGCAGTCTCCCTCACCTGCCTATGGCTTTTGTGGCTATTGCCCTGTACTAACTGGTTTTATGTCAACTTGACACAGGCTAGAGTCATGAGAGAGGAGGAAGTCTCAATTAAAAATGCCTCTGAAAGATCCAACTATAAGGTATTTTCTTAATTATGGCCATTATGGGTGGTGCCATCCCTGGGCTGGCGGTCCTGGGTTCTGTAAGGAAGCAGGCTGAGCAAGCCATGAGGAGCAAGCCAGGAAGCTGCATTCCTCCATGGCCTCTGCAGCTCCTGTCTTCAGGTTCCTGCCTTGAGTTCCTGCCCTGACTTCCTTTGGTGATGAACATCAATGTGGAAATGTAAGCTGAATGAACCCTTTCCCCCACAAGTTGCTTTTTGGTCAGGGTGTTTCATTTCAGCAATAGAAACCCTAAATAAGACATGCCCCTCCCTAGCCCAGGTCTTCCATCTGGATGTCACAAGACCAGTGCCCTCTTATCCATCAAGTCTCGGGTCTAGTAAATATTGCCTCCTGAAGACGCTCTCTAACTTGTCCTTCCTTCTCGGCCATAGCTACCTGAAGCCATCTTGGACAATTTGTGTGTACCTGTTTATGGACTGGATTGCGCACTCAGACATGAAAGGAGTAGGCACCCCTGCCATCTCCCCATTAGCCCAAGTACGGAGGATGGTGCCCAGCACGTGGTAAAGGCTAGTAGCCACTACTTGAATGAAATGTGTGTGTAACAGTGATGCTGCAATGATAAACAGACACTTACTGAAAGTATAAGTAAGTATTTATTGTAGAAATTACTCACAAGAGACAAACAAGTAACCCAGATGAGCCAAGTAATTTTCTGTTGCCGAACTGGAAGCCGGAAAGCCGGAAAGCCAGAAAGAGAGCTAGACAATCTACTGATCAGTCTTTTATTCCTTCCTACATACACGCCCCTAGCCATGCCCAAAAGTGGGCTTGGCTAGTGACGTAGTTCACCTACTATGTCCATATACGTCTTTAGACATGCCTAAAGTGGGTGTGGTTAGCGGTGAAGTAAACTGCCCTTTTATTACCTCATCTGTATGCACCTCTAATAAGTCACATGGCTAATGGTGGAGCATTATTTCCTCCTACATAACAGCTTAGGGTAAAACTCTGAGTTTCATCCTAGCTCTACAGGCTGGGAGTGTAATCTCCGAGTCAAACAGGAATGAGCCATTGCGCCTGGATTCCCAAGTCACCCACTGCAGGCTGAAGGATGGGACCTGTTACTCAATCCCCAGGTGCCTCAGTTTGCTCATCTGGAAGATGGAGGTGCTGGATGAGATGCCTCTGGTCCGCTCCAAGCTTTTCCCATGCCATAGATCATAAACAGATATATGCTTGAACTTACCTTCTCTGATGCTGGTTTGGGTGTTTTCTGTTTCTTTTTCTCTCTTTCTCGTGAAAAATGGCACATGAAACGTGTCAGCATGGCTCTCTTGTGCATAGTAACATGGAATGTTTTGTGTAAAATGTAGTCAAATTCTGTGGGGTTTTTTATTATTTGCTCTTTAAATAACCTCCAGATTTGGCATCTTTATTAGTGTCTTTGGCCTGGTAGTAGGGTGAAAGCATTGGGTATCCATTCGCTGTGGTGCATTATGAGTCTGGCTACACGGGTGTGCTGAAAAACATGCAGTGTTCTTGCATGTGGAGCAGTGGTGGAGATGGCTGGAGTCCCGAGTTTCTGTCCAGTAGAGAGAAGCTGGGTCAGTTTGGTCTCAGGGCAGGTTCTGATTTCAGAACTGTC